AGTCCATCGCGAAGTTTGGTGCCCGTATCCAGATGATCCCTGCATGTGCACTTCAAACAACACTTGCATACTTCGGTTGACGGTTCTGCGCAGAGGTGGCAGATCAGACTCGGAGTGCCTGTTTGTGTTTGAGCCTGCGAGGTGCCAGGCTTCCGAATGGGGCGATCAGCAGTCGGATGAGGAGGCGGCTCAACGTGCGCGGGCTGCGCCGTCGTTGATCCGACCTTTTTCCCTGGGGCCCACTTCTGCCGACGAAGCCGTAGTCGTGGACCCTACTTTTGGCGGGGCTTCTGTCGCGGGTTGCCCGGTTAACCGAACCTTATCCCGTGGTTCTTTGTCCATCCGATGTTGCTCCAGATCAGACCTTAACTTCCTGTTTTCCTCGCTCTCGGCCCGAGTGGCGAGAACATTGTTTCTTATCTGTTCATCTGCGTGCCCTTTCAGACGATCCCAGGCAACGGCTATTCTCTTCTGGTCCTCATCTCTGGTTACCTGGGCCTTCTGTTCTTGTTCTCGAAAGGCTCGCAGTGCTTCCGATTTTTAATTTTTCGGCCTCGACTCTAGCAGCTTCAAGTTGATTGCGGAGCTCCTGATTTTCTCGCGCTGCTCGTTCTCGGGCTCCTTCCTCACCTTCCCTCCTGGCTGCATCAGCCATTTCTCGGTATTCAGCCCTCTCCCTCTCAGCCTTCTGCTGAGAGTCTGACGCCAGTTGTTCAGCTATGCTCTGGATTCTCAATCTTTCATTCTCCTCTTCGGCAAGGCGCCGTTGGGCTTCGTCTGTGACACCTGCTACGCTAACCTCAGCATGCTGTATCCGTTTTTGCGCATTTTCCACAATGGCGGTATTCTCATGCTCCACCTTTTGTGCCATTGCCTGCCTTGCTGCCTCGGAAACTGCAAGCATGCGTTTAGCCTCTTCGGCGGCCTTTTTGTCTTCCTGTGCCTCAAGGATGATATGTTGTATATGTGCGCTCGCAGCCCTCATCAGTTCTCGATCCTGTCTATTTCTTTCCGGCCCCTCTTGAATTGCGATATGATGGCAGTTGTGCTCTTCCATCGTGACGCACTCCTCTCCAAACCATGCTAGACTACACCCAGGACAAACATCTGAACATCGTGAACGCGCTGGCCTCCGACGTGACCCCCCCGGTTTGTGCGCCTTCCCTGGGCGTCGATTCTCCGCCCGAGTAGGGCACGTGGGCCCGGCGTTCCAGCGGCCTTCTCGTATCGAGAAGCTGCTGGAGGTTCTATTCGACGACGACCGTGGTGATCCAAGGGCGTCGAAAACCCCTAGAGCTGGAACGTTCGGCCCTGGGGGCCTTGCTGTGACGTCCTCGTGCGCTACTGGAGGTAGGTGCGTGTTGTTCTCTCGTTCACGCGCCCCCATTGATAGAATCGGCGCCCCTACTCTGTGCTAAATCGTTTCTTTCGTCCTGCATTACGAGCTCATCAAGTTCTGGTACTCTGTCCCTGTTAGTCCCTGGCAATGAAAAGTCTGGTCGGTAGAAACCCTGCAATAAGGGCGACATGTGTAAGTCAATGTTCTCACCCTTCGGCTTCTTCGTCAATGGGCGAGGAGTCATGCCTGTAGTTGCTCGCGTATTCCTCATTGTGCTCATGACGTCGGGGTAGCTCGACATCGGCTGTGCCGACGAGCATCCGCCTCGGTCTGGGCTTTCTCCGTCTTCGAGATCGCCATCCGAATCGAGAGTGGCCTTCTGACTAGCCTCAACCGTTACATGGTCAATCGTCTCACTCGCTAACGTGTCTGAGCCTAAGGCGAGCCCGACGCGCCGATCGGGGAGAGGGTCGAGATGATGCGATGGACCAGGCGAGGTATGAAATCGGGCATATTCTTCGCTCTTTTCACTCGAATGAGAACTGCCACCTTCCGCTTGCACGTCGCTCGCATCCTCGCTGTCCATGCAGCGCGAACTGCACCGCCTGTCCTGCGCCTAGACTTTCGGCGCCCGACATTCCTATGGGGACGTGATCCAACAACTTCTCCATCTCAAGATCTAGGTCGATCGATGGCTGAATCCCCGGGTGTACCGACGCGAACTCAGAGAGTCCCTCGGCGGAAGTTTTGGCTGTGCCATACCTTCCGCCCGAGGATTGCGCTCTGGACCTTGTCGCAGAATCAGCCGATGAATCCCCTTCTGTCAAGTCAAACACAGTCTCTGATGCTTGCTTCCTGGGAAGGTTGAGAGAACTTGGTCGCCTCGTTGAGGCTCCTGCGCTTTCATTACGCTCGGAAGGGTATCGATCTTCTGTTCGTCCGAGCGTTCCTTCATGTGATCCCATGCTCTGCAAAGCTAACGGCTGTGCCGTCGTTTCGGCTGGTAACCAATCTTTTGCCCGGATATTCATAATGCCTGCAATCTGTTCCGATCATGTCTCATGGTCAGTGGGCTCCGCCGATAACATGGGGAAGAGGGGATAATTCCGTCAAGCATACACTAAGGTACAACTGAAGGGAGGAGGCCGGCCCGCCGGCCGACGCACGCGCGCGCGCCGTAGGCTCGCGCTCCTTTTCCGTTTTCTAGAGCCAAGGTGGTATAGCTGCGGAAGCAGAAGCAGTCAGTTCATCAGGCACTGCGCGCAAGGCAAAGGAGCAGACACGGCGAAAGGATGGTGGTGCGGAAGGGGTGCACTGATTCACTGTCCCCATTGTCCCACTCTCCCCACTGTTCCATTGTTTCCACTACAGATCCCCAGTGTCCCCACCACTGTCCCACATCCCCACTGTCCCCAGCCCTGTCCCCACCACGGTCCCACTCTCCCCACTGTCCACATTGCCCCCACCATTGTCCGATTGTCGCCACCAGTTTCCCACTGTCCCCATTGTCCGCGCCGCTGTCCCACTGTCCCCACTGTCCCCGCCACCGTCCCCACTCTTCCCACTGTCCCGACCACTGCCTCCACTGTCCCCACCAGTGCCCCCACCACTGTCTCACTGTCCCCCTTGTCCCCACCACTGTCCCCACCACGGTCCCAGACTTCCCACTGTCCCCACCACTTTCCCACTGTCCCAGTGTCCCCACCACTGTATCACTGTTCCCACTCCCCACTGTCCCCACCGCTGTCCCACTATGCTGTCCCACTGTCCCCAGTGTACCACTGTCCATTGTCCCACTGTCCCCATTGTCCAACCCCCCCCGCTGTTCCATTGTCTCCACTATCCCCACTGTTCCCACTGCCCCCACCACTGTCCCACATCCCCAGTGTCCCCACCACTGTCCCCACCACCGTCACTCTTTCCACTGTCCCCACTGTCCCCATCACAATCCCACTGTCCCCACCACTGTCCCACTGTCCCCACCACTGTCCACAGTGTACCATTGTCCCATTGTCCCACTCTCTCCCCACTGTTCCATTGTTTCCACTATCTCCACTGTTCCCACTGCCCCACCCCTCGCCCCACATCCCCAGTCCCCACCACTCTCCCCACCACGGCCACTCCTCCCACTGTTTCCACTGTCCCCATCACAATCCCACTGTCCCCACCACTGTCCCACCGTCCCCACTGTCCCCCCCGCTGTCCAACTGTCACCACTGTCCCCACCACTGCCCCAGCGTACCACTGTCCATTTGTCCCACTGTCCCCATTGTTCCACTGTCCAATTGTCTCCACTGTTCCCACTGTCCACACTGTTGTCCCACTGTTCCCACTCTCCACTGTCCCCACTGTCCCAGTGCCCCCACTGTCTCACTGTCCCGCTGCCCAACTTTCTCCACCGTCCTCACCACCATCCCCACCACCGTCCCCACCACAGTCGCCCATCCGAAGTACGGGAGGAGGGGGACTCGTTTTCCCAATGTCCCACTGGCCCCACTGTCCCCACCGGCCCCACCACCATCGCCACCGCCGTGTCCCCACCAGTGTCCCCCATCCAGATGTGGAGAGGAGAGGAAGGGGACTCGTTTGCTGGCGGCGAGTAGGGGGGAGGGGGGGGGCGGCAGGGGGCGGAGGGGAGGGGGTCGAACCGGTAGTGACCCAAACCTTTTCATGATGGACCGGGGGGAAGAAGGAGACGGGTTTGGAACCCTCATCCCAAGATTTCAAGAAGGGGGGTGACGGCGGATTTGAGACCCCCAGTGATCCTCCCAGGTTTTCTGCCAGCAGCGGCAGAGCACGCTCTGTCCAATATTTTGAGCAACCCAATGTTTCGCTCATGCGTGTCCCAGCATCGCTTCAAGACGACCCCCTGTGCCTTCGAGATTGCCCACAGCGGCTCAAAGCCCTCCCGCACCCCCAAAGCCCCAAGATACCGCCAAGATCGCTCATGATGGTCCAACACGGCCCTAGGATGGCCCATGATGCCCAAAGAGGCCTTCACTATTGGCCCCAGAGGCCCCCAAACAACTCCAATATAGGCTAATATGTTCCAGAAATGACCCTATACGCGTAAACATGCCCCCCCCAAACAAAAAAGAGCCGGGGAGATGACTTCCAAGCCGTTCCAACACATCCCACCCGTTTCTTTATCTTCCTCCTCGTCCTCCCAGCACTTTCCCTCATTCTCCTCTTCCTCTTCCTCTTCTCATCGTCATGCTCCACGCCCTTCTCCCTTTCAGCCTCATCCGCCTGCTCCTGCTTCCTCTTATTTTTACTTCTCCTCCTTGTCCTCATTTCCAGATTTTCCCCTCTTCGTGCTCCTCGCTCTTCTACCTCATTCACGTTATCCTCCCTTTTCTCTTGTTGGTCCCCCGCCCTCTCCTCCACCCCATCCTCCTCATCCTCTCCCTTGTTTCTGCTCCAGCTCCGCCTCCAACTCCTCCTCCTCCTGCTCCCCGTCATCCTCCTTATCCTCCTTCTCTTGCTCCTCTGTTGCTGTTTTCGCTTTCTTCCTGTTGTCGTGCAACTCCTGGCTCCCACCTGCAATTATGCGCGCCTTCAGCCAATCCCCAATGTCAGATCCAGTGAATGAGGAGGAGGGGAAGGAGGAGGAGAAGAAGGAGGAGCAGTAGCAATACCATCGCCTGTCCCCCCCGTGTTCCTGCAGGAAGTACGAAGTGGGCTTTTCGTCCAGACCTAAAACTAAGTCTCCCAAATCTTCGAGATCTTCCTCAGGCACGTCCTCGCGGACAGCAAGAACATATCAGGCAACAGTCCCAATCAACCGATGGACATGCTCAATATAGCTGCTCAAAACATGCAACGTACTTTCAGGACGCCTCCTCAGAGTTAACTCCTGCAAGCATTACAAAGCACACACTGCACATACTACAATTATCCCTTGCTCTTCGTCAGGGCGGTCGGGTAACTTCGTCAAATTCTCTTGCGAAAGTGCCTTCCCGAAAAACTGATCTGTCTGACCCATTCTGTCGAAAAGCTGCGTGCGAGTGGCAAGTATGCCGTGCACGTTTCTGGTTCAATCTACGGCTAAGCAAAGAACACTTTCCCACACTATTCCAAGATGCCGTTTCACTCGCCCGTGTTTGCGGAGGGATCCCGAGTCAAAGTCGAGGGAGTACGGGGAAAGGGGAAACACAGAAACAGGAGGTGGGTGAGACGAGACGGGCACGGGGAGGACATGATGACGCGTGCGCGCAGATCCTGTCCCGACGTTCCAAGAGCAACTTTTTTTTTCTCTCCCAAGAGGAGTATGGTCTGATTCAGCATGCGCGTGCATGTTTGCACCTTTGGCTATTCCCCCCCTGGATCCCTGCCTGGCTGCCACGATGGCTGCACTCCGCATCCGCTCCAAGAGGTGCACGAAGCAGCGTTCGATCTCTTGTGCCCGAAGCGGCGTGGCTCGAGTGTCTTTCCTCCAGTCCCACGCCCTTCTTCGCCGTGGTGAAGGCCAGTCTCTCGTGGTCTGCTCGTGCGGCCCCTCCTGGCTTCCTCGTCTTCCTCTCGCCCCTGCCTGCCTCTCCCCAGATTGCCAGATACGACCTGTGGGCACGCGCCCTCTGGGCTCGGCGTCCTCTCTTCACGTCGCCGCTCGCTGTCCTCCGCCTCCCTTGCCCTCTTTGGCTGCGGCCTCCTCTCTTCGCTAGGGGGCCACATGCGAACCCTACCCCTACTCCCAACGATTTCTGAGGAGGAGGGTGGGGCTCCCTTCGCTCGGGAGCTCCCGAGCGAGGTGAACCCCACCCTCCCTCAGAAATCGTGGGGGGTGGGGGTGGGGTTCTCGTGTGGCCCCCTCCCTTCGCTCCGCCGTGGGCCCCTCGCCTCCGCACCGTCGCGTGCAGGGACTCCGCGCCGCAGGCGCGGCAGCGCCGAACTCGCCCTCTGAGCGCCTCGCCTTCTTTGGCTGCGGCCTCCTCCCTTAGGGTTTAGGGTTTAGGGTTCGCTCCGTCGTGGGCTCCTCGCTTCCGCTCCGTCGCGCGCAGGGCCTCCGCGCCGCGCGAATCGCGGCAGCGCCGAATTCTCGCCCTCCGAGCGCGGCCCGCCGGCCCGCCGGCGTGGCCACGGGCCGCTCTCCCCAGGCCCGCTGGGGATGCGACGCGCGGCCAGTCGCCTCCTGGGCTTTGGTTTTTCCGGCTCCTCCCCCTCCTCCCCCTCCTCCTCCTCCTCCTCCTCCTCCTCCTCCTCTTTCTCCTCCTCCTTCTCCTCTTTCCTCCTCCTCCTCCTCCTCCTCCTCCTCCTCCTCCTCCTCCTCCTCCTCCTCCTCCTCCTCCTCCTCCTCCTCCTCCTCCTCCCCCCCTTTGTCCCCCCTCGGCCCGGCGGCGCCCTCGGGGCGCCAGGGGCGGAGCCGCGGGGGTGGAACGGGAGCGGAGGCTGCCCGCTGCTCCACGGCATGCAGCGGTCGGCGCAGGCTGCGCACCAAGGGTCACTGCTCTCCACGTCAGCCGGGCTCCTTATCTTCCTCGGCTCCGGCCTCTTCTTGTAGCTTCTGTCGTGGTCCTCTCGCCTGCCCCCGCCCCACCTCCCGGCCCCGTTCTCGCCAGAGGAGCACCTCGCCGCAGGTCGCCGCCTCGCCAGCTGTGTGTTGAGGCGCTGCAGGCTAGGTCTGCTGCGTGGCACTGGTTGGATCTGTACCCACTTGCCCGCCGTTGGCCGCTCCCGACCCAGGAGAACTTGGCCTCTGCTCGAAATCGTTCGTCCGACGCGTGTCTGCAATTTGTGCTGGCGCGCGTCCCGCCTGTGCCTGACCAGGGGGTTGTGTCAACCCTGCGGAAGATGAACACTTTTTTGTGTTGGCCTTCCCTTTCTTCATAACTTCACCTCTCACTCCCTCTCTCCCCCTCTTTCTTTCCCTTTCACTGTCTCTCTCTCTTTTTTTTCCCCTCTCTCTCTTTCTTTCTATTGTTCTCTCTCTAGATACATATGTCTATCTCTTCATCTCTCTTTTATAATGCAACTTTTTAGCGCAGCTCCGAACATAGTTTCGCAACTGAATCGTGCAGAGTTGTAGCCGTCTCTCAACGTATCTACTGCACACCGCACATATACAAACCCTGCCTGCAAAGCTTCCGTGCCATCTTTCCCTGTACGGTGCTTCTGTCCTTGCCGTATCTGCCAGACATGAAGGGCGACTAGAGCAGACGAGAGGCGCGCAGTTTCGACATCAACCGACTACCTTCTTCCCCTGCCCTTGCCTCTTGCCATACATTATCCGCTGCAAGAGGCCAGAACAAAAACCGTGGTCCTGAAAGCTAATGAGGTTCTCCAAGGTGTCGCCAGAACACAACGTTTTCTCGTCCTCCCCAGCGAGTGCTTACATCAATGTGCGCTGCATCGGCACGGACCTTATAAGCGTCTCAGGGTGAATCTAGGCGGTAACAACGCAGTACGCACACACGCACAGGTGTTCGCGAGGGAGGCCGCGATGCAGTGTGGCCCCCTGGGAGCCCTCGGCAATGCAGGCATTCGGACACAAGTTGTATACGTGGCGACGATATGAAATACGGACGTGGGCCAGGCTCATGCAACAACGGGCAAACAACATCCAACAATGCACCTTCAACAGTCCTTCTTGTCACACATGAAGATGACCGTGCCGTCATCCTTCATGAGTCTGACAATGTCGGCTAAATACCGGGCCACCTCTCGCCGGAACCCCTTGCCCATTATGTATTGTTTGTGCACGGCTTACACTCAATTTGAAGACCGCTGCTCAAACTCGAAGGTGAGTGACAATCTGTGCAGGGTACGGGCCGTATTCCGCTGGTAGGCCAGATCGTTCGCCGTTCTGTCATCGCCTTTTGCAGCAACAGCCGAATGATATGACATGGAGCTCGTGCTGCTTCTGCTCCCTTGTCATCTCCGAATCCCCTGCCCCTGGCCGAACTCTTCGACGCCCTTTTTCTATAATTTCGATATTCCCTTTCGGAGCCTGACGCCGCGGGTCTTTCTTGCCAATCGGTCTCCCCTGCTTGCTCCTGTGCCTGCTTGCTAAAGCTGTCGGATCCGTGCATGAGTCTCGCAGCGTCTGCAATGCTGCTCCCGAAACAACCACCATGTCGGCGCCCAGCCGCGAAATAACTTCTTTGCCGACCTCCCAACGACACATGTACGATCCAAGCATAATTAGATCATTGTCTGTTCCCTGACAATTACATCAACATCCGTGCATTCCAACATATAGAGCTGCAGCTGTCCCGAAATTGTTGAATGTGTACTCCAGATCCGCCAATGTGGAGTGACTTGGGTGCCCTCAAGCCGCCTTTCAACCAGGAACTTGGGGATGCGCGACATGTGTCAAAATCGGCGTGTGTTGAAAAGCGGCCGAAAAAACACCCGGGCCCGCCCCACCCCACGGCTCCTCTCATCCACGCTCCGGGGCACATCTCACCCCTCCAAGCCTCTTGGAAAAACCTCCCCGCCGTTCCCACCCGGTCCAATACCCTCGAAGCTCATGCCAGACCCTCCGCACCCCTCCAGACCTTTCGAAAAACCCTGAGGGGCACTTCCCACCCCTCCGATATTCTCGAAGGGCCCTCCTGGCCCCCCCGCGCCCACCGATCGAGCGACAGACGACCGACCGACCGACCGACCGACGACGACGACGACGACGACGACGACGACTATGACGACGACGACGGCGGCGACGACGAGGACGAAGACGAAGACGACTACGACGACAACGACGACGACGAACGACGGTCACCGGCGACAAACGGCCGACGACGACGGCGACCGATCAACGAAGATGACGACGACCGACGGCGCCCACAACCGATGCCCCGACCGATCGTCCGAACGTTCGACGGACCGACCGACCGAGTGACTGACCGAACCAGCCGATCGACCGAGCGACCGAACGACGACAACGACGAACGACGACGACCGACCGACCGACCGGCCGGCCGACCGACCGACCGACCGACCGAACGAAGGAACGACCGACCGACCGACGGCTGGGACCGAGCGACTTGCCGACCGACCGACCGACGACGACGACAAACGACGACGACGACGACCGACCGACCGACTGAACGAACCAGCGACCGACCGACCAGACGACGACGACGACGACGACGACCGACGGCGACGACCGAGCGTCCGATCGATCGAACGACCGACGATGATGAACGACGACGACGACACCGACCGATCTACCGACCGACCGAACGACCAGACAACGATCGACGGCGACGACCGACGAATGACAACGACGGCCACGACGACCGACCGACCGAGCGAATGACCGAACGACCCAGCGGCCGAGCGACCGACGACGACGACGGCGAACACGAACAACGACGACGACCGACCGACCGCATGATCGAAACGATCGACGACGACGGCGACGTCGACCGACGGCGACGACCGACAGACAACGACGACGGCGACCACCAATGATCTATCGATCAACCGATCGACCGACCAACGACGACCGAACGACGAAGACGACGACGGACGGCGTCGACCGACGGACGACGACGACAGACCGATCAACAGCGACGAACGACGACGACCGACGACAACGACGGAGGCCGACCGCAACCTCCGAGGTCAAATTCTAGAACGCGCGGGCCAGGTAACATTCTAGAAGGGGCCGCTTCGAGGTCGTTGCCCTCCTCCCCCTCTCCTCTCCCCCCAGAGACGTGGGCTCCTTTTTGTATGTATTCATGTATGTAAGTATGTACGTACGTATGTACGTACGTACGTAGGTAGGTAGGTAGGTATGTAGATATGTATGCCTGTCTGTCTGTCTGTATGTTTGTATGTATATGTCTACATATAAATAAGAAGTGGCCGGGCGGTTGCATGCGAATGCGAAACCTCGGGCTCCGAATCCTGCAAAATATCTACGGACAACCTGAGACAACCCGCTAGGGCCGAAAGGACCCGAAGGAACCGCGAATGGACCCCCGAATGTGCCAGAATGTGCCCCCGACGGAACCCTCCGCAGCGCCCCTGGCATCATCGTCATTGTTACTCGGCCGTCGCCGTGGTTCGTTGTTGTCGCTACTCCGCCGACCCTTTTGGGGCCTCGAAGCGTGCGAGATTCTTCCCCGTGTCCCCCGCAAGCGGGTAACACATCGCCCGTTTGAGGGAAAGTGGACCTCGGGGGCCATTTGCGCTGGCGCCCTATGCAAATGGCTGCTGGAACGGGCCAGCCCCCGGGGCGTCCCTGGGATCCTTGTCTCAGGGCCACTTGCATGGGCGGTTTATGCTAGTTGCCAATCGCAACGGGCCCGCCCCCTGGATAACGCCTGGCCGAACGCTTCGGGGTTCGCGCCCGTCTGCATAGGCGCCCTATGCAAATAGCCACTGAAACGGGCCAACCCCTGGTGCGTTCCTGGGGCCTTGTTTGGGGGCCGTTCGCACAGCCAGCCGATGCAAAATGCCGATCGCACGCCCCCCCCCCCCCGACGATCCGCGGTTGGGCTGGTCCCCGGTTGGGCTGGTATTCCCCGGCTCGACGGTGAGAAATTGGCTGGCTTCTGTCCCGACTGGAAGGGTTATTCCCCGGGGGTGCCTCTGACGAGCTTCTTGAGCGACTCGAAGAGGCTTCTAGACAGCCTCTGAAAAGCTTGTCCAGAGCCTTAGAGAAATCCCCTGCGAAGCTCCTTGAGAGCCTCTGAGAAGTTTCTTGAGAGCTTCTGAGAAGCTCCGTGGAAGCTTCTGAACGGCTTCTTCGGTGCCTTTTAAAAGCTTGTTTAGAGCCGCTGCAAAGCTTCTTGAGAGTCTCTGGAGAATCTGGAGGAATCCTTAGAAACCTTGAGAAATCTTGGGGAACCCGAAGGAACCCTGAAAAATCGGAGGGAATCCTCGGGAACCCTAAGGAATCCCCAGAAAACGTAAAGAATCCGGTGGAATCTTGAAGAATCCTGAGACATCTTCAAGAATCTTAAACAATCCTCACGAACCCTGACGAGCCTAAAGGGAGCCAAGAGATTCCGGAAGGGGCCACAAGAAATCATGAAAACCTGCCAACATAATCCTACATAATCCGGGAATTCGTATAAATCCAAAAGAATTCCGCAAACCTTTTTGGAGAACCCTGAGACCCTCCTCGGAATCCGGAAGAATCCTTCGGAGTCCTACGGGTCCTTGCGGAACCCAAAGGAACCCTGAGGAACGCCGAACAACGCCGAGGAATCCTAAAAAGGTTCCTCGACAATCCTCGACAATCCTTGGGAGAGGAACCCTGGGGGCTCCAACGCAATTCGGAACAACCCAGACGGCTCCTGCGAATAGCCTAACAATACTACTTTAGGCGGCACAGCTTGTGCTCCAAACCAGCCAAACTTGAAGCGTTCTACGCGCTGTTAAGTATGCCACGCACGTGTCGTCACGCGAAGCTTGCCCCTGCAACCAAAAGACAAACTGCGAATTGCATGCGTTAGGTGGCGCAGTGAGCGGACATGCGCAGACGTCGAGTCCTGTATCGTGTGAAGGGCTGAGGAATGAAGTCTTTGCCCTCGGGGTCTCATGAGGAAAATCTGCTGCCATGCCTGCGCGCGATGGGCGCGTTGGAATGCCCGATTGTTGTCCAGGAACTTATCTGAAGACCCCGGCCCGCAAACCAGAAACCGTCGCGGGATGGGCCGAAGGCCACCCGATACTTGACGGTGTGGGAGCCCGCATACAGCCTCCTCCCCGTCCTCCTCATGCTCCTCCCTCTCCCCCGTCCTCCTCCTCCTCCTTTCCGCATTCTCCTTCTCACAATCGTCGCCCTCCGCCTTGCTCTCCCCCAAATCCTCCTTCCAAGGATTCGGTGCGTGTAACGCCAGTGCAGAATCCGTGTCGAAAGTGGTCACCAGAACGGGCTTCACGTGCAGGACTTCAGGGGTCGGCGGACGTGGCGGAAGCCTGGAGACAGTCGTCGTTGTCCTCGACGTCGTCCGTCGTTCGTCGTCTTCGGTCAACGCCGTTGTCGTCGTCGGCGGTGCGTCGGTCGGTCGGTTTTTCTTTGTCGCCGTCCGTCGTCGACGTCGATCGGTCGGTCCGCCGCTCGTTGCCTCGGTCGTTGTGCTGGTGGTCGTCGTCGGTGGGTCCGTCGGCCGGTGAATTTTTCGTTGTCGTCGTCCGTCGTCGTCGTTCTGACGGCGCGTCGGTCGGTTGGTTCGCCGTCGTCGTCGGTCGGTCGTCCGATCGATGACCTCATTCGTCGTGCGTTGTCGGTCGTCGTCGCGAACGTGTGTGCGCTTTTTCGTTGTTCGGCAGCGAGGGGGAATTCCGTCGCGACATTGGGCCGACAGCCCAAATTCGCCTTTTTTGAAGCGCCGTCGCGAAGCCTGAATCTGAGCGCCGGACAGTGCGATGCAAAGAGGGCGCCAGACGTGCATGCCAACTGACTTGGGCACGAAGTGCAGCGAGACCGGCGCGCGGCGCCATCTCTCGGCGCGCGTGAAAATGTCAGCGAGGGTGACGGCGGCGCAAGGGACAGCTGTAGGCGCGCGCGTGCGCGCGCGCGTTCTGGCTGGCGTCGCGGCCCCGCGCGCAGCGACGAGGCGGAGAAGGTCGAGCTGGAAGCGAGGCGGGCCCGGGCGTTTTCTGTCAGGCCGGGCCCGCAGAGGTTACGTAGGGCCCCGCAGCGCGCAGGCAGCGCCACCCATGTGCCATCTGGGCCAGGGTGGAAGGGGAGGGCGCGCGCGCGTCCGCGCGCGCCCGCTCGCCCGCCCTGTTTTTCTGTGGGCACGGTGGAGAAGCTCCGCCGCGACAGAAGGCCCACGACCCAGTTTACCTCCTTTGAAGCGTCGGTGCGGAATCCTCGCGCGCCCGCGCGCGTCAACGCGAAAACGCGAAAACGCGCGCGCGCGCGCCCCGGAGGTGCGCTTCGCCGTCGGCGTCGTCGCCGCCGCCGTGCTCGGTGCCTCCCAGGGCGACGTGCTTTTGCGAGGGCCCGTCCGTCGCTGCTTCGGCGCGTCCTTCGACAAGCGAGCGCAGACAGGCCCTCGATGAGGAATCCCTGACCGCAGCGACACTGTGGGCGGCAGAGGGCGTCGCGCGGACGTCGTCGAACCACGCCTGGGCGGGCGCGCCGACAGTGTCCGCCCCGCGCAGGCCGCTCGCGTGAGTCGTCTCGGCTGGCCCCGCAGGGTCCCGCTCCTGCAGGAATTGGCTCGTCTCGCCCGCTGTGCGCTTCGCCGTCTTCGCGGCGGGCGGCTCGGGCGCGCTCGCCAGCGCCGCGCCCCCTTCTCGCGCGGGGGGCGGTCGAGCGAAACTGGATGACGTTCCCTGGATCCTTGGGCCACTGGTTGAGCGCGAACTTGTGGAGGTTCTGCGTCGCGAGGTCCAAGGTGGCGACGACCCCGCCGCGGCGCAGCGTGTGCGTATAGGAGTAGACCATCGTTACGGAACGCTCGCCCTTGATGCGCTTGGGGCGCCCTTGCAAAGTTTCGCGCGCCCTGAGCAAGTCTCGACGTCGCCGACGCCGCCCAAAAGAGCGCCTGCGTGCTGGTCCACCCGGAAATCCGACATGTCTAAAAAGGACGTTGTCCTCAACAGTGCTTCGAGGGCGCTGGAGGCGCCCGCCTTGTTGGCCTGCTTGACCAGCGCGGATGCAATGAGCAAACTCTTGCCCATCTGCGTCCCGACGATGTTCGCATTGAGAGGTCGGCGATCGCGTGCCAGGCCGGGCCATCGTGGGCGACCAGGAACTGGTCAACCTCGTCGAACTTGCGGGGCGCATTTTAAAATCCTGTGTCCTCGAAGTCTTTGTCCTCCGTCTGGGCGAGCGCGATCACCGCGGCCTGGTGCTGGCCCCCGGCCAGCTCCTCTGTGTTCCGCTTCCTGCTGGCGTGCCCAGGGGGAAACTCTTTGAGAGAGTGTCGCGCCGGACGTGGGACAATTTCTTCTTCGAGCGCAGGCCGTCCAGCCACGGGCGCAGGGCCTGGTACTTCTCCCCTGGCGGGTAGTTCTTATCGGATTCCACGGTGCCCAACTTTTGCACTGTCACGTACCGCAGACCGTAGAACGCTGCGGTCATCGACGTGACCTTTATCTGGAACGCGCACTTGTCCCCGCGGAACTTCAAGCCGTCGAACGCGAACTCGTCCAGGTTCTGGCGGAAGGTGCCAAGCCCGTCCGTCCAATAGAAATCGCAATTCAATTGATGTAGCTGGGCGTGCTCAGTCGGACGCGCGTGGTTCGACTCTTCGATGCACACCGCCCTGGCCGCGGCGCCGAGGTCCCTCGCCTTCTTCGCGGCCCAATCCCTGAAAAGCGTCCACGTGTCCAAATTGATCGTCGCATCGTTGAATGTCAGCATGAAGGCGTTGGTGTGCAACATGTAGGACGTGTTGCTGGTGCACGAGCGGCACGTTCTCGGGGCCCGGCTCATCTCTGGGCTCCGTCATGGGCTGGGGAGGGTACCCTCCTATGTCCTTCCACTGGGTGACGGCTTCGCGCAAGCGCTCGGCCGGCGCGGGCTCCGCGCAGCGCTTCTGGAGCACCCGGATGAGCTTATCCACGCCAAGCTCGGAGGTGCCGTTCCCTTCAGCGGCACCTGGGCTTGTGGCGCCTGCAACTCTCCGGCCACCACGTGCAGGGCGCGAGCCAGGACCTTCCGCTTCGCCTGGCGCTCGCTCGCGGCGCGGTGCCTCGCCGCGGTCGTCACAGCGCCCGCGGGCCAGCGCATTGCTCCCGCCACGGGCGGCCCTTGCCGGGGCCGCCCTCGCATGCGTCTTTGCCGGGGGGCACCTTCGTGGCCGTGCGGCTCGTGGCGTCAGGGCGCGGCAGGTGGGCGCCGGGCGGGCGAGGCCGAAGGCCAGGGCAGCTGCGCTTGGACTCGTATTATCGTGTCTTCTCTTCTGCTGCACTGCGCAAGACTGCACAGCAACCGGTGGCACTGCAATCGGTTGGATTGCAATCGCCTGCCATTGCATTCCGTTGCAATCGATTGGATTGCAAGCGGTTGGAATGCAACATGCCCCGAGAGGCCTTCAACACCGCTCTGAGAAGGGTCCAAGCGCTATGCACTGCTACTCAATTCTACGCAACGCAATGGTATGCAATGCCATGACATGCTATGAAATGCTACTTTAAGCTGTGCACTGTTACCGTGTGCAAAAAATGCTGCAATGCTACCCGGTGCTACGCAATGCTACCTCCTCCTCCTCCTCGTTTTTCGGTCATCGTAGGTTTCTCACTGTTGTCTTGCTCTTCGGAGGTATCTCCTTTTCGTTTTTCGTTCCGCCCTCCCCACCTGCGCCACCCCTCTGCGCCTGACCGAACACACGCACGCGCTCATACACCCAAGCACGCGCACGCGCACGTGAACGCGTGTTGCCGTTGTCGCTGCCGTCGTCGCCCTCGTCGCCGTCGCCGCCATTGTCGACGTCGCCGTCGTCGCCGTTGTCGGCGTTGCCGTCGTCGGTCTCGCCACTGGCGTCGCCGATTTCGATGCTTTCGTCGGCGGCTGCGACGGCGTCGCTGGCGTCGTCGTCGTCGTCATCGCCGTCGCCGCAGGCGTCGTCGTGGAGCTCGTCGCCGTCGCAGGCGCCGCCGTCGTCGTCGCCGCCGACGAGAACAGCGTGTCTCAGCACGCGCAAACTTGCGCAACAATGTTGTGAATTTCCAGCCCGTTCTCAATACAAGCGGATTGTGACATGTTTTGGTCCTCCTGAAAATGTTCGTTAAGGGCCCACACCTCGGATTTCTGGGCGCGCCTGGACGTGTCTGGATGATCACAAAAGACCGTGTTTGGGAACGTCTTGGGCCGTCTTGGGCCTGAGACCTTTGCCAACTGCCCTGCAATCCCTCACCAGCTGCGGGACCTTAACTGAGGGTGTGGCTTTCTGTGGTTGATCGACACTCTTTGAATATTCACGTGGCTCCTTCGTGGTACGAATGTTTTGAACCCTTCTGCATCGTCGTGCAACCTGGCGCTCAAAAGCACGTAAGGTGGAAGGCGTCGGGTCTCGTTACAGTTCTGATGCACCCTACGTCGGCGATCCTCTGCAACATGAATTCTCAGATTTCCTGTGGCAAAGGCAGAGGTTGTCACCATTCGAGCTTGTGGATTCTCGTCTACTCTCGGGGGATTCAGATAAGCCCACCACAGATCTATGCTATTGGGGGGGATCAAGCACGCTGGGCGATCGCATTCATCGATGTCGGATCGTACCTCTTCAACAAAAGTGGCAACACCACTTCGACCGCTGAGGCCGATCCGCACGTCGCTGCACGTGAAACCAACAAGTCTGGGGAACGCCACTCTGAGGAGAAATAACGGCTGGATCACTCGCGAATAAGAAGGCTGTGGCCAGGAGTGGACTGAGGCGGTAAGGGACGGCAGACGAGGCACATGCAGCACTCGACGAATAAGCGCAGGTATATGCTTGGATGATGGCGCTGCTGATGATGATTCCACTGTGCCGAAATTTCGGGCCCTCCTTCTGGATTGCCTGCCAGTCCCTATAGGAAGGGCTTCTTGTTAATCAGACAGATCTGCAACTGCTGATTATCTGCATTCTCCTCGTTGAGGTGCGGACTTGTTCTGTTCGACTCACTGGGAATCGTCCTGGTCAAGAGGCGTTGATGGGGTGAGACAAGTTCTTCGCACTCCAACCATCTAGTTATCTGTTCTCGGATGAATGCCCATTCCCTCTCTCTCTCTCTCGCTCTCTCTTTCCCTCTCACGGTCCCTGTCTCGCCCCTTACTACTTCTCCTTTTTGCTTCTTCCACCACTCACCATATCAAAAGGGACACTTCTCCCACAGTGACCAACTGATGCTCGTGTTGGCACCCTCCTGGCCATTCAACCTAGCACGGTCTAACTGCCCCGTCCCACCAGCACAAGGTTCACTGATTTAGGCTCGATATCCTCTGTTTCACTGGCCGAGCGGATGCAAAATCAGAGGCTCAAGCGAACACGGCGATCTATACAAAACCAGAGCATGGGATGCCAGCACACACGCCGCGAAACTGAATGCAATAACTGTTGTTCGAACCACTGGGAGGGCTGAGCACGCCCGAGCACTCCACGGCAACAGCAGGACCTACCAACGCTAGAATATCAACCAATAGCAGAGTAAGCAAACAATGGAACAATCATGTACTTACCAAATAGCTTGAATCAGACAAGGCTGGAACCACATGCAGAGCATGTGGAAACCACGCGCTGGATGCACACACAGAAGGCTGGCGTACCAAACCATGCGGCCACATGTGTGTCCATGCTGGCCGCGTCATGTGTACTCAGCTTTGTTGTTAGGCGCGTGGAAGCACTGTGTGCTTCCACTGGGGTGAGATCGGGTGGGGGTGGGGGTGGCGGAAGAAACGGAAGACCTCCGAGCTCTTGGCCACCGAAGCGGCGTCATATGCAGATCAACCAGGCGTTGCGCCCGACAACAGCACTCATGCACATGCGTGAAAACCATGTACTTGTAGGCTGGGATCTACTTCCCGCCTTGAAAGACACCTCGTCCTGCTCCTTTTCGTTCTTATTCTCCTCCTCATCTTCTGTCTGAACAGCTAATTGACAATCTTCCATTGTAGATGGTGCATGCGTGACGGGCGGTACCCCACAAAAGAAACAACTGCTAGGATTTAACAACAACTGGACGAGCACATGTTCCTGATTGTGGCAAACTCCGGTGTCCTTGGTCGTGCATGAAACACATGCGTATGTACCGTGACATGCGCTAATCCATTCGGGGGTAATCTTCCACCACTAACAGCGCGACACGTGTCATCAATGTTTGCTGAGCTAGCATACCTGGACTCGACATGCCCATGGTGTCCAGAATGCCACCGCCTTTCTTTTTCTGACCAACCTGCCCGTTGCTCGATTTGTGCAACGTAAACAACTGAATGTTCTATTGAATCTTCAAAGTCGTGGTTGCGTTGTGATCGTCACGCCGGCAGTGACCGTACAGACACCACTAGCCTCGAACCGCATCGATTCGACAATCGGCGAACTCGGGCTAAGAGCGACCGTACGGACAAGTGAGTCGCACTGTCGCGTGAATACAAGGCCCACCAACCATTTAAGTCGGAGGTGGTTAGAGCGTTTCCTCTTCCAATCCCCTTATGCTCCCCTTGGGAATGTTTTCCGCCTGCCCCATATTGATAGACACCCTCTGTCCCTCCCGACTGGCCGCCGACCAGAAACAATGCCCCCCCCCCGCGTCATCCCAAGCCCACCCTCCAGCGGATCGAAAACTCGAAATTGAATCGTCGAAGCAAAAAATGGGAAGAGACAGGGCCTCCCCCCCCCCCCCGGCAAGACCGACAACACCCCCTCCCGGCAGGGACCCCCCCCCCCTCCGGACAGCACCCCCCTCCCGGCAGGGACCCCCCCCTCCTGGCAGGGCCCCCCCCTTCCCGGCACGGGCTGCCCGCCCCATGGGGGCCGCCGTCTCGACGGGGGGCCCTCTTCCCGGAAGGGGCACTCCTCTCGGCGGGGCCCTCTCTCCCGGCAGAGGGCCTCCCTCCCGGCAGGGGCCTCCCCCCCCCCCGCATGGCCCCCTGTCACGGCGGGGGCTCCCCTCACGGCGGGGGGCTCCCTGCCCGGTAGGGCCCCCCTCTCCAAGCTCTTTCAAATTCCCAGGACGAGCCTGCGCGGCGCTGAAGCGATGGC